GAGCAACAAAGAGGATTAGGGGACTGGAGGCTAAAATATATGAAGAACGGTTGCAGGAACTGGGTTTGTCTAGTTTAATAGAAAGAAGGACTTGGGGCAACAGGATAGCAGTCTTCCAATATCTCAGGGGCTGCCCCAAAGAAGAGGGAGTCAAGCTATTCTCCAAAGCACCTGAGGATAGGACAAGAAGCAATGGGTGGAAACTAATCAAGGAGAGAAGCAATTTAGAACTAAGGAGAAATTTCCTGACAGTTAGAACAATTAATCAGGGGAACAACTTGCCTCCAGAAGTTGTGAATGCTCCAACACTGGAAGTTTTCAAGAAGACACTGGACAAACATTTGTCTGAAGTGGTGTAGGGTTTCCTGCCTAGGCAAGGGGTTGGACTAGAAGACCTCCAAGGTCCCTTCCGACTCTGTTATTCTATTGTATTTTATCTAAAAAGAAAGAGATTCTACAGCCACACCACCCGCCAGATATGAATTTATAATGCCCCTTGCAAATAAAACATAGACACTGAGGCCTAGGAACACAGCTCAAAATATGTGTGAAGTCTGCGTGTAGCATACTGCAGGTCTGGCCTTCTTCAACAATTTTGACATGTAGCAGAGAGCACTGATGGAGGAATGGGCTATCAAGATCAGGGCATGTCCCAACTCGGTTCTGCAAGGCAGGGAGGGCAGCGAAGAGGAAGTCACAGAGATGGTGAACAATGTCAGCGACCGATTTAAAAAATATTTTTTTAAAAAAATCATCAGGCACCAAAAGAACAAGATACACTTGAAAGCCACGGACTGGCAGCTGCTAACAGCAGGTTCAGCTTCGATGTCAAATCTCAGCTCTGGGTGGAGAAATTCATCCCCACCCCGGTGAGAGTTGCCAGATACCAAAAAAAAGAGAAGGTGTGTGTGTGTGTGGGGGGGTATAGTTGAACCCAGAAGGAAAGTTGGAGGAAATTCTTGACTGCGTGAAGGTTACTCAAGGATGAAGCTCTCCCTGGATAATCTTCCGAGTTCCTTCTCTGCTCTGCCTGATGGACTGTTTTATGAACAGCCAGGGGGAAAGCAATTTGAGGAGAGATCTAAGCCATGGTCTACGGAGATGGTCTCCGTCCTCCAGGTCACGATTGTCCCAAAAGTGCTTTTTTGGAAAGGCAACTTTTTTTTTTTTTTTTTAAATTTGAAGACGTTTCGCATCTCATCCAAGCAGCTTCCGGACCAGAACAAGAGGGGGGAAAAGCACAAACAAGCAAAGGAAATCCAAGTTGCCTTTTTGAAAAAGCACCCTTGGGACGATCTAAGAGCACCTCTGTGGCGTCCTGTTAAAAAGTCACCCTCCTCCCCGATGCTGCTGAAACAGCCTTCTCCTTTCTCCACGGGGCAGGCAATGAAACAGGAAGTCCAAGGGAAGCAACCAAAGAGAACCATACAAAAAAAGAAAAAGAGAGAGAGAGAGAGAGAGAGAGAGAGAGAGAGAGAGAGAGAGAGAGAGAGAGAGAAATATCAGCATCCACTAATGCAAAATGGCTTCTAAGGGTAGCTCACAGTTGCCCTCAGATATTCCCGTGGGAACATAATCTCAGGGCTGGTTGCCATCAGATGTTTCCAGACCGATGAGCAGGGGGGGCGGGCTACCGTTCAGCCTCTGATCTGCTTCCTGTTCTCCGTCTGACATTCCATCCACACCAAAGAACCGTCCATTCTTCTTCCCCCGCCCCCCCACGAGACTGGGCTTGCTGTCCAGGCCTCAGGTCTGTTGCTTTAAAGGGCAGGATGAGATCAGCACCTCTCTGATGCCGGAAACACTTCCAAGTTGGCCGTACCTTTCCAGTCTGTGGACAAGGACGGAGGGATTGGAGAAGGGGAAGGAAGAGGGATGTAAGAAAGGCACCAATCCTCTGATTCACAGCCTGGGAAGGAAAGAGAGAGAGAAAGAGAACAAGAGTCAAACAGGGAATGACATTCACACTGCAGCAAGTTCGCAAACTGCCATAATGTCCTTCTGATGTTGCCTTCAACTGGCATCTGGGCCATGAATGAGACAGGCTCAAGTTGTCTTTAGGTGTGGGGGTGGCATTAAAAGAGTATTCCTTCCCTCCCCCCTCTTTGGCACCATCCAAAGGCAGGCTTAAGGTGTATGGCATCTGTTGTGGGCCACCAGCGGCCAGCAGAGCTGGCGGCAGATTCAGACATTGAGGAGGTTGGAGAGGAACATGGGCATCTGTGGGAACCCTGACACTATCATCTCAAGGATGGGTGGATAGCATCACCATTCAGTGGTAAGGAAAGTCTCCATGAGAAGATGTGCCTGAGAGAAACTCCAGGTCCAAGATAAATGTGGACAAGGGAGCCCAAATGGTTCTGCTTGAAGATCGTCTGTGTTGAGTCAGTGTTGGCTCATGTAGAGAGATCTTCTCCAGCAGGATCAGTCTTCAGTCTGCCCCTTGAAGTCTCCAATCAATGAAGGTCCCCATTCCCTTCAAACCATTGAAGACTCCAAGAGGACTCTGCTTGAAGTGGGAAACAGAGGCAGGATAAGGCTCGGCAGTGAGGTAGCACATTGTATGGTGGTTAAAGCTTTCTGCTGAACTCCAGGAGGGCAGAGGGCTCATCAGTTCTGGAGTGGACAAAGGCCCTCAGCCATGTCCTCTGGTTTACAGACCACCAGGGCTCAATTTGTGCAACACGTTGAGCCAGATCCAAACCGATTCCTCCAGGACTTTGAGTGATGAATGAATCCATCTGATGCTGCTGAAAAGAAGGGTTGGGAGGGCGGAGAGAGTATTGCTAAGCAAGCACAGAAAGTCTCCACTCCCTTTTGAGCAGAAGGCTTCCAGAATTACCTGGTTATTCTCATCCGTCTGTCAAGAAGATGAAGGGAAGGGCACCTAATCAGAGAGATCAACATTCCTGGGAAGTAACATCTGGTCCTCCTAATCTACCATTTAGCTACTGATGGATTTCAACCCTGCCTTCTCTTTGGCAATTCCAAACAGCTTCATCAGCACTCTTTCCTCCAGGTTGAGCTCCACAACAATGAACCTATGAATTCGGTTGTGGGGAGAGGTAGAGAAAGCACAGGAATGCTTTGGGGGTCTCATGAAGGCCTGGATTTGGGATTCTCGGTGGTTAAAGATGCTGAGCTTGTTAGCTGGAAAGCTGACAGCCCAGGTTTGAAACCCGAGCACAATGCGATGGAGGTGAGCTCCCGTCCCTCGCTCCAGCTCCTGCCCAGCTAGCAGTTTGAAAGCACACAAATGCGACTAGATAAATAGGTACCATTTGTTCTGACCTCGGCTTCCTGAGACAGTAAAAATCTCACGCTTAGTCCCCAAACCCCTCTTTTTATTTAAACCGCTGTGAATTATGTTAATTGACAACCCGTAATGATTCACAAACAGTCTGTGAAGAGTCTGACAGGAATCTGCCACATTCTTTTAGGGTAATGCTGATAAGCACCCACCTTTAGCTCCCTTGAAACGCCGCCAAAGACCTAATTGCCAATTAGCTTTGCAAGGCCAAACCTAGCACAGAGTCAAAACAGAGCTTCTCAAAGCTTGAACCGACCAGAATGAACAAAGTTGCTTTTGCTCCTCCTTTATGTCTCATGGGAAGGGCCAAACATCTCCAAGCCTTACTCCCGAATTGCCCCTTTTGTCTTAACTATTCTTGCCTTCTGGCAGCTCTGCACATGCTCCCTGTTCCTCTGCCTCACTAATGTCCAACTCTGGAGGCTCCAGAGGCAGCACATAACTCCCAGATGGCCCTGGCCCCCTCTCTGCCTCTGACACAGAGCCCTCATCTGAGTCTTCCCCAGACTCCAGGACTGGCCCAGGTTCCTCCCCAACCTCTTAAGAGACCGCCTCCTGCCGATTACCTCCCTAAGACCTATCAGATCTCACAGATTAGGCCTCCTCCGAATTCCATCTGCCAGCCAATGTCGACTAGCAACTCCCCGGGGGAGGGCCTTCTCTGTGGCTGCTCCGGCCCTCTGGAACAATCTCCCTGTTGAGATCTGGACCCTCACCTCCCTTCCAGCTTTCCGCAAAGCCACAAAGACCTGGTTGTTCCGGCAGGCCTG